TTTTGCCAGTAGTTAATATGAATACAATTTGGACTACCACGTTGCCTTGTTAATTCATCTTATCAAAGTAGAGGACTCTATGCCTCCTGACCTCTTTCCCGTGAGATTCAACCAAACACTTTAAAAAAGTCTGTTTTGAGCAAAGTAATACACTCCAGCCTCTTCCTGTATCTTCATTAAACTAAAAGTCAATGAGATGCTAGCGCAGAGAGAGAGAGAGAACAAACAGTTAAACATTTCTCAAACTGCTACAACCATTAACAGAAACTGCTGTGTCAGACTCTTCTTGCGGTGGTTGTACAGTGCTAAGAATAAACATGATGTACTTGAGAGACACAATGACAGAAAACCCCCACCCACATCACTACTCACTTCATACTCGGGGAGTTCCTTCCGTCATCTTTTGTCACTGGTTGATCAAGCATAGACATCATAGAATAACTATCCACCAGTAGGTTATCAGGGTCATCTGTCTGACCTGGAAGCTTCCCAAGAGGAAAGTCTTTCCACTGCACTCCATCTGAGTGGGAAAGCAACATTCATGGTATAAAACAAGAAGTCTGCACTTTCTAAAATTAGCATCAGAAAAGTATGTGGGCTGTTTGTGCATTTCGTAATAATCCTGTCAGAATTCTGTAACATACATCTAGGGAATAACATCCCCAAATTTTGACTCAGACTTATGCTACCATGACCTTCCTTTGGAAAAGTATCATGTGAAACAATGGGATACAATTCAACACCAAAATGTCAAAGATTCCCCATTGTGCAGCTTGTCCAAGCATTTTAGAGTATTCTGGGTTATTATACACCACTGATTCCAAGGTAGAGGGGATAATTCTTGTCATCCAATCTGACCTCCTGTATAACACAGGCAACAGAACTTTCCCCAAAATAATTCCTAGAACAGATTTAGTAGAAAAAACATCCAGTCTTGATTTAAAAGTTGCTAGTGATGTAGAATCCACCAAAATCCATGGAAAACTGTTCCAATAGTTAATTATAGTCTAACTTTGTCTTGCTTCATCCTCCAGACACTGGATTGTTTTATATCTTTTTCTCTGCTAGACCAATTATCATCAAATATCTGTTCCTCATGTAGTAGATACTAGGGATGTGAAGGAGTAGTCGACTATCCAATAAGCAGGAGCTTATCAGGTAGCACTTTTGACTACTCAATCACTCCCCCTCACTCCTTGCACTCTTAAAGGGACAGAGGAGCCGGTGTGCAAAGACTCTGGCTCATTCTCTGGTGCTCTGCTAGGTCTCAGGATAACCCTTACCCTGCCACTCTGCAGTTTTAAAAGGGATGCAGCAGCAGCCGCCGCCCCCCCCCCCTGATCCCCTTCAGGACAAGCCAGCTGCAGCTGCAGTGTCCCTTTAAAAATGCAGAGGGGCAGCATGATGGGAACAAGGAGGCCAAATGCCGCTGCTGCATCCCATTTAAAAGTGCAGAGGGGCAGCATGAAAGTTGTCCTGAGACCCGGGGCGGTGGGGGAGGAAGGGGACCAGAGAATGAGCCAGTGTATTTGCACACCAGCTCCTCTGTCCCTTTAAGAGGCAGCCAGGAGCTGTGCTGAGACACAGCCTGAGCTGAAATGAGCGCTTAAAGCTCCCTTCCTTAACAACTTAGTCAAGTAGTCGATGGAAATTCCATTGACTACTCGACTAGCAAATTAATCAATACTTAACATCCTTAGTAAGTACTTATAAACTCTAATCAAGTTATCATTTAGCATTTCTTCATTAAAAGTTTGAGTTCCTTGAGTCTCACAATAAGTTGTTTTTTTTCCTAATCTTTTCATCTTTCTCCTCTGAACTCCAATTCATTAGCATCTTTCTTGAACTGTGGACACCTGTATTGACATAACACTCCAGAAAAGGTTGCACCCATGCCAAATACACAAGTAAAATAACCTCTCTGCTCTTATTTGAGATTCCCATTTATGCATCTGAGGATCACAATAGCCCAGTTAGCCTCCACAACACACAGAGCTCACATTCAATTGATTATCCGCTATGACCCCCAAATAGTCTTCAGTCATGTTCTAGAGCAATTTCTTGTATTTAAATTCAGGTTATTCTTTTAATTGACTTGTGGCACTTAAAAAGTGACAGATATTCATAAGTGTTAATTCAACATTATGCTTTGGGAAAGTGCCTGATTTGGTTCCCAAAAAGTCCAAGATCTAATACATGTAAAGAACCACTTGCACACATGTAAGACACTTTCCTATTCTAAGGAACAGAAACCTTCACGTTTGCCACCAGTAGCTTGCTCCTTGGGTGTCCAACCACAATAAACTCTTTGGGTATGTCTACACTACCACCCTAGTTCGAACTAGGGTGGTAATGTAGGCAACCGGAGTTGCAAATGAAGCCCGGGATTTGAATTTCCTGGGCTTCATTTGCATAAAGCCGGGCACCGCCATTTTTAAATGTCCGCTAGTGCGGACTCCGTGTCACGAGGAATAACGGTAGTTTGGACTAGGAAGCCTAGTCCGAACTACCTAGTCCGTGCCGCGTGTAGCCGCGCGGCACGGACTAGGTAGTTCGGACTAGGCTTCCTAGTCCAAACTACCGTTACTCCTCGTGACACGGAGTCCGCACTAGCGGACATTTAAAAATGGCGGTGCCCGGCTTTATGCAAATGAAGCCCAGGAAATTCAAATCCCGGGCTTCATTTGCAACTCCGGTTGCCTACATTACCACCCTAGTTCGAACTAGGGTGGTAGTGCAGACATACCCTTTGACAGTATCTCCATCAGTAAAGACAAGAGCAGGAGAGAGGAGATATATTTTTAACCAAGTGGGATGGGAGTTGGAAATTGGAACAAGATCACTTGAGATAAGGGGATTCAAACTGGAATTTTTTTTTCAAAAAAGTGTAAAGGAGTTTGACACCTTTCACATTGATCTTAGGCCTCTTTAAAAAAAATCCCATCTTCAAAGTGTCAGCAAAATACAGTGGTGACTAAATACAGGAACTTGCTTGACAGAAAAATAGGGGAACAATATAAAAACTGGAGGAATCCTGAACAGTCTGTAAATAATCTTTTGCACATGACTATAGGGTACGAGATATGTAAAAGAGGCAACACAGCAATAGCTTGGAAAGTACAGTCTCTTACCAATTGATAGGTTCTCACAATAATGATGAGTACAGTTACATCTTCCTCACCACTTCCTGCTCCTCTATTCAGTTTCAGACCGTCTCTGTGAGGGTGTACAGCCTGTAAGCAATTTGCCACCTTGAACAGCAATAACTATCAGGCCAGCTGTACCCTGTATTCAAAGTTATGTAGATAATGCCATTTCATGAGGACCCTCATGCTTTATGAAAACTGGCTTATGAATATGCATAACTTGAAGATGCTTTTACATTTTGAAAGTTGTAATCCACTGAACCTGTATGTCCTATTTTTATGTATGTATCATTTGTGTATGTGAATAAAACTTACAAAATAACGAATAGTCCTGCAGCACCTTAGTGGCTAACAAAAAAATCCCCATCCCCTTTCTTTCTCTGCTATTTATTTGGAATTTGGGCCCCTTAAACTCCATTAATCTGAAGAAGTGGGTTGTGCCCATGAAAGCTCACGATACCATCTACATTTTTGTTAGTCTCTACGTTGCTGCAGGACTATTAGTTGTTTTTTAAGCTTTTTCTATTACAGACAAACATGGCTACCCCTCTGAAACTCTTGTATGTGAAGTTAGGAATATGAAAAGTGAATCCGAGTTTAATTCTAAATGTGCTAATGAGGGCCGTTGGTGATACTTTAGGAATTTAATGGCTCAGTACTCAAACCAATAACCTATAAATGATTCTGTAAGCCAGTGGTGCACAACCCATGGGTCCTGGATGTCTTCCCAGGGTGTCGTGGTGCTTAGATCTGGCCAGCCGGGGGCTGGGCCCGTGGTGCGGGGGTCGCAGATCAAAAAAGGTTGCACACGACTGCAGTAAGCCCACATTGTGGTTGGTCCTAGAAAGCATGTAAACATGCCACCTGGTACTAGAATCCATCTTGAATCTAATACTTTTTCATGGGGGTGGGGAGACTGAAAAATTGCCTTAGGGGTTTTGTTCTTCTTTGAGTGCTGATGTCTTATAACCGAATCATCCCAGAACCGAGTTGGTTCAGTGTCTATATTGCTCTGCAGAGTGGGACACTAACTTCGTGTCTTGGCTGGGGAGAGACTACAGCTTCTAGCCCAGCAACACAGGGCGGTGTGAAGCCCCAGAGGGCAGAAAGGCGGGCATAGGGGATTAGCACACCGGGGGACAACCCCAAGGAGATCTCTGGGATCCAACCCACCACATGCCAAATCCAATCTTTTCCTAAATTTCAAAAGCCAAGACAAAGATAAGTGTCACATACTGTTTGGAAACCAAGGCTTCTCAAACTTGTTTGCTTTCCTAATAATGGGATGGCTGCTACTCTAGACGGGTGAGACCAGGAGCCTCATCAATCTAAAAACTAAGATGTATTTCATATTTCGAGTAAGAATGTTAGCCCCAAAAATATGTAGCCGGGTGCAGGAAGAGGGTAAATCAAAGCAACCTCACTTTGTCTCAAGCTACAGGAAGCAGAATCAATATACCAAAACCATGTTGACAGAGCCTTGTATGCAAATCAACCACAGAACTTAAAAGGTTCTCTATTCCAGACAGCCACAGAATGAGAATAAAAATGAATGTAACTCATGCTTACCATGAAAAAGTTGCTCATTCCCTGTTACCTTTTTCTCTCAGTCACCTGAACATTCAGCTCTAGCAAACCATCATCAATTTGATTAAAGGTAGTCGTTTAAGCAAACAAAAAAGTAATGTACTAGGGGAAAGTATTTGAACTGCCTTTTGCATTGTTGCCTGTATCTCCACTCATGCAGCTTCATACCTGAAATGCTTTCCCCCCATCGGACTCACCATTTTTATCTTCTCTATTCTCTACCCCTGTTAAAATCTTCAACAAATCATGCTTCTCCCATGAAGTCTGTAAGCATTAGAATCTCCGAGCTCCTCAAAAATTAAGTGTTCAATAGTAGTGGGAAGTGATCTTGAAACTCGCAATGTACTTGCTAACCTGCCCTAAACACAGTAGTTTCTCCTCCTGAGGATTGTAAAACTTTGATTTAATTCCAGTTGTTGGGCTTAATGTGCAGATACCAGAATGGGGCTGATGGCCTGTGACATACAGTAGGTCAAACTAGATGCTTGTGTGTGGTTCCCCTTTTGGCCTCTAAGATCCTATTTGATCCCTGAATTCCTAGTCTTGTTTCATCCATTTGCATACTGGTGGTGCATATTGTGGCTTCCTGGAGCATGTTACTTGTCTGGAAAGCACTTTGCACACTACTGGAAATACACAAGTAATACACTTGAACCTCTTTAATCCAGCAACCTTGGGAAAGAGGCTATGCTAGCTTAAGGAATTTTTATGGACCATGGAAGATGCTAGGGTGGGATCTGGGAGACAGTGTACATGAAAAGCTGCGGGGCTGGGACAGTTAACCTGGTATCCCTCTCTTGGGGGCACTTAGGACTCTGTGCTCCCCATCGACCCCAGGGACCATTTCTCATCAATATGGGAGCAGTACGCTGCCATTCCCCTAGCTGGGGAAAGGTCAGAGCTGTTTCCTCTGTCTCCTGCCAAGCTCCGAACCATGGGTGTTCCCGTATCAGGGACACCCAGAATATGGAGCTTCAGGTGTCTTTTTAAATCTTGGATTGATAAGAGGCAGTTTTTGTCATGTATTACCAAAGTCCAGGAAGTGTTCATATTTACTTTGCTGCTCGCCACTAGCCCACACCCTTCCCCGCCAATGAGGTAAACTGGAATTTTAACCACAGAGGATAACATGTGAGATGAAAGTTAACAAAGCATTAACTGTGTGTTCCTGTAAAGAGTAACTGCAGTGTGATGAGAGCCCCAAGAGGGGAGATGCCTTTAAGTAGACAGCTTTGAAAAAACAGTTTACTGGGATTTAGCTATAACATGGACTTGAAGTAAACTTCCATCTAAATAAGGCTCTGAATAAGGTTTGAAGGGCCACTGTACATTTCAATTTACATTTAGTGGTGACAAAAAGACCCAAGGCATCAGAGTATGTCCTAAAAATCACTTTACCTGCACTGATCTGCCAGACAGACCCATGTAATGTTGCCCTTTTCTCAGCAATAACCATCATGTTATCAGCATGAAGATCTTCTAAAGGTGTTGGCTCAGTTTCCATCTCTTCCTCCTCCTCTTTGTCGTCTTCTTCACCAACACTACCCACTGCTGTTTCTTGCCTTTCCAACCTTTGGCCTTGTCCTTTGGCCTGATTATCCTGTCTAGCCTTCCACTGTAAGCTCTCAATGGTGTAAATTGGCTGCCCACTGCTATCTGAAGAGTCTGGACTGGAGACAGAGCTTCCTTCTTGGGTATAGATGGAGGAGAGATAAAGAAGGTTCTCCTGAGCATCTGCAGGCAAGGGAAGCTCCATGTCTGACAAAATCCTAAAAAGAAAAGGAGGGAACCAGAGCATCACAAGTAAAAAGAGACTCCAGAAAAGAGGCTTTTGGAATCCAGCAGCTTAAGCATGGGCTCTTCTAAACCAGCTCAGGATGATGCACATGACAGAGATGGTAATCTTCCCAAGCTGAGTGGGGTCCTAGGTTACTCTGTTTTCTTAAATATTCTGATTTTTTTTCTTAATCCCCCCCCAACTACTTTCATGAAAACAAAAAGATTACAGCCCTTCTAAGCTTTCACTACATTGTTAACGTCAACCAGCCTCATCATGATTCTTTGCCCCCTTTTTATTAGTCACCAATTTCTTTTCCTCTAGTTCACTCAATTTCTTTTTTGAAAGAGACCTGAAAAGTTTTATTGCTTTCTCTCTTCTAGCACCAGTGGAACAATGGGCAGAAATAATATAGGTTTAGCAGGCATAAAAGGGTTTCCACAAGGGTGACACCAGGTCAGTGAAGGAGTCCCAGCCACAACTGAGCACACTTTTCAATGGCTCTGAGCAGGTTGCAATGTGATCTGCTTCCTGCACCCTCTTTCCTTTTTCAAAGAGATGGGGTCACACTTACAGCTGCAGGAGATGTGGTGTCGCCCAGCAGGGAGCTTCCAAACATTCATCAATGAGCTTTATCCATTGCAAGGAAATTCTATGGAGAAACAGCTTCCTTTTATTTATCTGACTCTGAGAAGGGCGTGCCACTTTCCTCCCTTAAAAAATATAAAGGAGAGGGGCCTAACAACAAGAAACAAACATTTATAACCAATCCTTTACATTGCTATAACATCTTTCACCCCTAACAGCCAGAGTTAATGTGTTTCACAGGCCATAATTCCAACCTGCTGTGGAATGTAGCTACTTCTGGAGTGAAACATAATATCATGATTTGGCAGCTTCGGCAACTCTAAAAACTTCAGGAGAAGTGAAAGACAATTTACACAAGGGCACATATGTATAAATAGGCAGAACAAAATGAGAACAGCCAAAATTGGGTTCAGTTTTTCCTATAATTCTCCCCATCCATGTGAAGAACGAATTTTGTTATGTGCACCAACAAAATGTGACATATCACCTTGTATTTGTGCATGTAACAAAATTAATGGGTTCGGAGTGTGGAAGGAGGGTTAAGGCAGAGAGTTGTAGGACAGGGGAATGAGAGCTCCAGCTGGGGTTGTGGGAACTGGGGTGCAGGATGCCATGGAGTTATGTTAGGGAGAGAGGAATCCCCGGCCCCAGCTCTCCCTCCCTGGAGCAGCACCTAGGCTGGGTGGAAGAGGCACCTCTCCCCTGGCTGCAGCAAGTCCGGGCTGAGTTGGGGTCAGAGCATCTGTCACTGGCCAAGGCAGGTTCAGGGTTAGACTGGGTCAGTAGAGGTGCCTCTTCTGCATCAACAGCAGGTCCAGGTTAGACTAGGGGAGAGGTGCCTTTCCCCCAGCTGTAGAAGATTCAGGATGGGGCTGGACGGGAGCTGGGGGAGGGGTGTCCATCTCTCTTCTAAGCTGTGTGGCCCGAACTTAGGTGGGATCTGGTCAGGACAACAAGAGTAACCCTGGGATGTTGCAAAATCAGCACTGTATGAGCTAGTGATCTGGGCACTGCTTATTATGAGAGGTACAACTGGCAACTGTAGTAACACAAACCACTGGTTTAGGTTTTGTGTATAAAACAGCACTTTAACAGTGCAGTGCTCCCACCATCAGGCTGGGACACTGGTCCCTTACAGGAAAAATTACTATCTTTCAAGTCTTGATAAAACCCATAATAAAGTTGTACAGTGAAATGAAGGGTACCCAGAAAGTGCATGAACACAGAGAACTTGAAAGCTAGAGTAAATTAACAGGAACAGTATACTTAGGATCCTGAACTTCTGACTTGAAAGTAGTATCTTCCCCCTTTGCACTGGAATAGGAGCAGATTTTGAAGCCATATTCATATGGGACCTAAAGGAATTTAAGACTCACTCACTCGCTTTAGCTTTGGTGTTGGCAGTCAGAATCTCAGCAATCCAGTTGATCAGATACTGAGGCCTGAATTCTGAAGATTCAGAACATTGCTTCAGGGTAGCAAACATTTTCTCTAGCAGGGTCTGTGTAAAGTCTCGGGAAAGGAGGCCCTTTAGCAGAGGCTGCCAGAAGCAGTAAAATGTCTGAGGGATTTTGAAATCCAGCAACTCTTTATTGTCTATGGAAAAGAAAAACACTACAATGAAATAGTGAAGTATTTTGAACATAAAATCTGTTTCAGTGATAGCTCCAAAGTGAATAGTAGCATATACCATATTCAGTTGTCCCTGTGTTATTCCTGGCATCCCACTCTGAATCAGAGTTATAATCAGCAAAGACGGGAAAAACAATGACTGGATAATTAGGCAATTAATACAGTGTTTCATTGAATGCAGAAAATATGAAGCTTAATTTAATCAAGCTGTAAACCAGAGGAAAAAAATCTCTCTCTGTTTTGCTAATGCTTTGCCATCATAAATTCAACTCCCACATAATTAAGAGCTAATCTATCTAAAAAAGGTGCTATAAAAAAAGATAAAAGACCATAGTACTGAGTAGCTTCAAACAGCTCTATTATTGCAATGTAATTACAGAAACTGGGAACCTCTTAGATGGACATTCTCAGTTGGCCCCAAGGTAGCTAGTCACCCAATTTCCAATGAAAATAGGGGTTGAGTACGCAACACTCTTTAGACAGACAAACACTAGACCCTTTAAATGCCAATTAGGGAAGTCTCTCCCAACCTGTGAGCAACAACATGGAAGCAAGTCACAGCTAGAAGTGGTCATACAAAGGTCAGAAAATTCCTCTATCGCTCCATGAAGCCCATAATTAGCGAGAATATAGCATGCTCCAACCTGGATGCTGGAGTCTTCTATGGAGGATAGCCCAGAGGTCCCTATAAGGCCAGTTAGCTGGCAATGGTAGAGGCAGCCATCAAGGGGGTTGCCAATGGGGTGGCTGCTGCATTGGTTTCAGTGAGGAGTGCCTTGGAGTGGGAATACTCAAAGAGTCTTCCTCATCGTCACTACATAATGGAGGTGCCAATCCCATTGATGTAGCTGATAGGTTGAAACAAGATGTATTCAGCCTATCATTGGTGCCAAAGTGTGGTGTTCCAGGCACTGAGGTTACTAGCAAGTCTGTAGCTACTGTAAATGTCTGCAGTACCAGGATACATGGTACCAACATCGGTGCTGAAGGGAGCTGAGGCAGAGGCTGTGCAGATGGTGCTGACTGTTTGCTCTGCAACAGTGGTATGGAAGACGGTGGCATAGAAGCAGTCAGTGCTGCAGCCACACACAATTTCATTGGTGCTGGAGATGTCTTGGCTGGTGTTGATGGAGCAGACGTGGACTTGTTAGTTCTGATGCCTTAGAGCTGGCCTGTGCCGGGTCCTTCGCTCCTCGGGGCCATCTTGGTGCCAAACTTGCCTGGTGCCTCATAGTCAGGTGCCATAGGTGCCCCTGATGCCAGTGCCAATTTTTTTGTGTTGTAGTGCTTCTTCTCAGGGGAAATCACTACAAAATGATGAGTGGGAGCGCTTCCTAGAGGACTGTGCTGAAGCAGAATCTGCAGAGCTCAATCCTGAGGGAACTGCTTTTTCAGAGCTCTCCATGAGAGAAAGTTGTCTGAGTGGTAGGAGTGTGCTGAATCACACACTGGCCACATGGACCTCTCTATTAACAGAAGCTTGAATTGAAGCTACAACAATTTTTTTTTTTTAACAAGAACAATCTAATATCTAACTGTAATTATAACTATTTAGTAATAACTAACAATTTTGCTTAACTAACAAACTACTACAAGATATCTAGGGCAACTGCAGGTTCCAACTGAAGTCAATGGCGGCAGAGAAGGAGCTGAGGGGTCAGTTGGCTGCACATGTGCAGTAGCTGCTCCAAACGGTGCATGCCGGCTGCCCACTGAGGACACTGCTGTTTTACCTCTCCAACTAGGTGCACAGCATTGTCTAAACACCTAAGGTGGAGCATCCACAGAGACACTCCTCAAAGGAAGTGGTCTGCATTCATGCAGGAGTAAGTACAGAATTAGAAGGTAGACATCAAAATAAAAGGGAATCAAAAAAAGTAGGTGGCCAACCTATGGTTCTTGAGCCGCATGCAGCTCTTTGCTTAAAGAAATGCGGCTCTTGCTAGTTCTTAGCTGAGCACCCAGATTGCTCACGGCCCACTGTGCACGCGCCCCAGTGCCTGGAGGGAGAAGTGCGTGGCAGTGGGGGCATCTCCAGGACCGAGGCATTGGGTTACAGCGGGGAGGAGGAAGCGGGGGATGCCTGGCTCTAGGGGAGGGGGAGGACATTGCATTAGAGTTGGGGGCAGGGGGACCGAAACACCTTAAACTCAAAGTCTTCATGGATACAGAATAAGGCAGCCAACAGAGTTGTCATATTTAAATCCCAGGGCAAAAAAAAAAAAAAAAAAAGCATCAACAAGTACCTGGTTTACACTGTATTTCTTTAAAGAAAATTCAAAGGCTATTGTCAAAGGCTATTGTTTGCCAGGCTGAAGCAATTAATCTGAGATATGGGTTTCTCCCTTATTGTTTTTGAACCTCTCATATTTGTAGTCTGAGACAGACCTGAATTTTTAGAACTATAAAAAAGCTATAATTTTCATAAGTTAATAAAAAAAAAAAAGAGGAAACCATACCAGAGATCAACAAATTGGAGTGAAACAGACACTGCAAAGTGTGCTAATTAACTTCTCAGTTCAGTTTAAATTTAAAAACCTCACATGACATAATAGGGCAGTAGAATGTTAAATTTAAAATACATGGTGGGGATGCTTCTCTTTTAGTGTGAGAATATTACTGTATTTTTAAAGGGTTGGGTTTTTTTTAATTTGATGTTTGTTCCTTGTCAAGTTCTCTGAATTTTTTAAATGAATAAAGACTTTTTGTGTACTATATTTATATAACTATCTATATATAGATCTATGAAAAAAAAATATATATGGCTCTTCGCACTCTAGCCACAGCTATTTTGGCTCTCTTTCTCTAACTGGTTGGTCACCCCTGGATTAGGATATGCAAAAATAGAAGGGGCAGTAATAGAAGGGGCAGTAGAGGAGGCCCTGGTATAAGTACAAAGCATGTTTAAAAACAAATTAAATTAATGCAAATTTGGATTTCCATCAAAATGAGAAAACATATTAAGTCTAACTATTCCATGTGTTCATTTAGGTTTAGGGGATTTCACACAAAGTCTAGCCACTGACCTTCACACTTAATGTTTAGAGTCTCCAGGTGTTCCGCAGTTGGGATGAGAGAGCCATCATCTAGCAGAGCTTCAGCCACCACCTCCCTAGAGCAAGAAGAAACTCCCATTAGTTCCCCCCAGATCTTACATTTCCCAAGCACCTGCTGTCCTGACCCCAAAACGTTTCACATGCAATATACACTAAAGACCTAAAAAATGCTTTAAAAAGTAACTGTGTAACCATTAAAAATCCTAACAATGATATGGTTACATGCACTGTGAGCTCTACAGTATAAGGTTTATAATGCAGAGCTCCTAGTGCAGCCAGCTCTCCAGAGTGGAGCTGGCAATCAGGAGCTGGTGCAAGCTGGAAGCCAGCTTATAGTACAGGCAGTCCCCGGGTTACGTACAAGATAGGGACTGTAGGTTTGTTCTTAAGTTGAATCTGTATGTAAGTCGAAACTGGCGTCCAGATTCAGCGGCTGCTGAAACTGATCAGTTTCAACACAGAGCTCCTAGTGCAGCCAGCTCTCCAGAGTGGAGCTGGCAATCAGGAGCTGGTGCAAGCTGGAAGCCAGCTTATAGTACAGGCAGTCCCCGGGTTACGTACAAGATAGGGACTGTAGGTTTGTTCTTAAGTTGAATCTGTATGTAAGTCGAAACTGGCGTCCAGATTCAGCGGCTGCTGAAACTGATCAGTTTCAACAGCGGCTGAATCTGGACGCCAGTTCTGACTTACATACAGATTCAACT